AATATCGTTTTGGTTAGTAGTAAACTTCCAAATGATTATTGTAAGTGCGTTGGTTACGGAATCAGCAATAGTATTAAATAAAAGGCAAATAGTTCTTCACGACAAAATTCACATTTTTAAACAAAACGATCTTGTGAGCCAAACAGACGCCCAGAATATAGTTAAATATATACTGAAGATTCATAAAAATATATATTGCATTGCTCAACATCTTAACTGTAACTTTGGTTTGACACTTTTGTTAATATTTCTGTGCGTTATGACTGAGCTACTCACTGAATTGGACAACTTAGTAACGTTGAAATATAAGAAAAAGGCGTTGCTCTTCAATTCTGATGAGATCTTTTTCCATGCAGTTATTTACTTGTCATCATTGTGTGTAAGTATATAATTAGAAAATGCTCGTTTTAATAATTTTTTATTTTTTTTTTTATTTTACAAAATAGTCGCATCAACCTCTGAGGTTATTAGCTACAATATATACACATAGATAAGATAATTTATATACAATTAATGTTAGATTTTGTTAAATACATTGATATCTTTACGGAATTTTACCAGATGTTCAATTTTACAATTTTCACCTAAGATTTCACTTTTTGGTCCGATGATGTGGTTGTTCTGTGTTTGCAACTCGTATCTTGGGCACTCTACAAGTACATGCTTAACACTTAGTGAGATATTACAGATTTCACATAAAATGGGATTAGTGTGACCAATTTTGTGTCCGTGGGTAAGTCGAGTATGTCCTAGACGAAGACGAGTAACAATAACTTGGTGAGTTCTGTTGGGAATTTAAGATTCCCACGGTTTTACAAACGTTTTCAATTCGCGAAGTTTTGAAGTTGAACTATCCCACTGGTTTTGCCACAGATTTTCGACTTTCACTTTAATAAATGATTTTAGATCGTTAAGAACATCTCTCACTTCACTCGCGGTTTCACTGTTCCTTGCTTGTTGGGCTGTACGATCAGCTTCTTCATTTCCTTGAAGGCCAATGTGTAAAGGAACCCATAGGAATTGTACAGTATAGTTATTGTTTTGAATGATAGCTAGTTCTTTTTTGATTAGGTGAGCAATTGGATGTTTCGTGTACAGTTGGTTAATGGTGTTGATGGAACTAAGAGAATCGGTAATTATAAAATAATTAGATATATTACTGGAGTTAATATGAACAAGATATAGCTCGCCAGTATGTATACAGCTTAACGATGGTAGTTATACTCAAGTGTAATATTTGGAGTAATGACAGCTGCCCCAACTCCAGTAGATGTTTTAGAAGCGTCTGTGTATACAGATTGAACCAAATTAAAACGGAACATACAATTTAATACATGTCTGTTTGAACTGCATTTGAAATAGTGGACCAATATAAAACTTGGACAAAAATAAATTCATACCTGGGTATAGACATTGTATAAAATATCGTTCAACTATCTGTCTCACAACAATGTTGTTTGCGTAAGACGGGTTTGTCTAAGGAAACGATAATAGTTCAGGAAATGAATCTCGAAAATAGTTAAAACCTCGCAATTTTTTTCGTCCTGCATGTATCCAGTTGAAATTTTAACAGAAAGTAGGTGATAGCCCAAGGATCAAAATCTATATCGAACCGAAGTACGCTGAAGGGTTTTAGGGGTGAAAACTACCCCTAATTGTCAAAAATTATAAAATAACATATTAAACCTGAATATGGGTAAGATTTGGTTTGAATTAGTTATATGATGATTATTTTATACTTTTGAATAGAGTTCCATCATATTTCAACCCTTAAAAAGCAACCCTTGTTAGAGATTAATGTAAAAAAATTACTAATTCTAAAAAAATGATTTCGCCTTGGATCGATTTGGATAAAAATTTGGATTTAGCTCAATTCACCCGCTGCTTTATAGTTTATGTCATGCCGATGAACCCTGATTAGTCTTAGGGCTGAAAACTACCCCTAATTTTCAAAAATTGTAAAATAATATTACAAATCTTAAGATGAGTGAAATTTGGTTTATATTAGATAAATAGTGATTTTTTTATACTTTAAAATACAAATTCATACATTTTCATCTCTTAAAAATCAATTGTTATGAGTGCTATAGGTGAAAACAATTTTTTGCCAAAATTTTGCAACTTTTCAACTTTTACAAATCACCCTTTACAACATTGCAGTTTTTATAAACTAATTTATAAGATATAAATTGAAAAAAGTAGAATTAAATACAAAAAAATTTATCAACATAAAAAGGCACCATAATTATATTCTTATACATTTACATAAATAGTTGGAAACATTTACATTTATAGGTAAAACAATTATAATATTAATTCTTCAATTATTGGTGGACTGTTATAACATCTTCTTCAATTATTGGTGGACTGTTATTGCACCCTTCACCTGAGCACCAAGAACAAGTAGGGTTACAGTATAAACCAACTTTTCTGCGCCCATGTGAAACGCCGCATCCTTTTTTGCATTGGCAAAAAGTAATTTTCAAAAGTTCATCGGGTGCAGGTTGTTTGTTCATGTGTACGGGTAATAACAAACCATCTTTGGAATACCATCCCCAATCTGTTGCTCTGATATTTTTATTGCCAAGCCATAGACACATGAGCAGATGTTTTATTCTGTTGTATGGGATTTCAAAATAAGAACGCTTACAATTTCGAATGTATAACGCCCCACTAGCTAATATACCGGTTTTGTAGATTATTATGCTCCGAAATGTACCTACTGTACTATACTAATGGAATTTTCCGGAAAAAAATTAACTGTTTTTTTTAACGTATTTCCTTTAATTATTAACGATAGAGTGTTTCTTCAAAAACGATTTGTAGAGGTTTTTAAGAGCTACAAGGATCTGTGAATTAAATCTTTTTGAAACCCTTGGTTTTTAAATGGGGTGAGTTTAAAGGGCCCGAAAAAGATGGTGCTTGATCGTAAATCGATGCTTTAAACGCCTATATCTTGCCAAATATTCATTGTACTACAAATCTAAATAAAGGATAATTTTAGTCATTAAAAAAGCTACAATTTGGTAATTTTTATTTTTTTCATATATTCAGTGTTTTCGGGCATATTTAAAAAAAGAAGGGTAAAAAATATGAAATTGTAAATCGTTTCTCGCTTTAAGCTGTACTTTTTCTAAAACTAAGCATTTTAAATGGGTCAAACTTCTTGGACGTATTAACAATACATGTACAAAGTGAATTAGCAGAAGGGTGAAGATCGATTTTAATTGTGGGGGTGATAAGGGGGTTGTTTTCATCGATTTTTTCGTAAAAAATGAGGTATTGACCTTATTTTCATCATAACTCACTCAATTTTTGAGCTAGAGTCTTTTTTTATGATAGGTCTGTTTATGCTCTTTAAAGAAGGTTTTGTGAGTTTTCTTCCAAAAATGCATCATTTTCCCGATATCTGACTTTGAATCTTTCAAGTTTGGCATTTGAAGAAAACCGCTGAACATTGATAGGCCGTATTTCGGTTCCTATTATATCGCAAAAACATTTTAAAAAATGAATTGTATTTGTCTTTTTAAAAGCTACAAATTTGTTCTCTACAATTTTTTTGATAAAATGCACCATTTTCGAGTTATTCGCGAAAAATCGATTAAAAACGTGGATTTTTTTCGTCTAAAAGTTATTACTTTCAATCGCGAATAACTTGAAAAATATCATTTTATAAAAAAAATGTATAGCACATTTTTTGTCTAGAATCACTTTTTTAATCGAAACCTGTAGTTAAAACGTAAAAAAAAATTTCACCCCGGAGATGGGGTGGCAACCACCCCCTAGGCTTTGGCGCACTTTGGTTCGATATAGATTTTGATCCTTAGGCTATTACCTACCTTCTGTTAAATTTCAAGTCAACCCACGCAGCACGAAAAAATTGCGAGGTGAAATGTTTCATTTCCTGGACTATAACTGGTTTGACAGCATATAAAATCGTAGATTTATGTGTAGCTTTCAATTTCAGTTCAGAATCTAGCAGCCCGCTGAAGTATTGGATTTTTATAATATAATAAAATTATTTGACAATCTTTTGTTGGCCAACCACCTACAGCAGAATTGAGCCGAAATACATTATATTCCTATGTTCCGAATTTATTTCGTTCAATCTGTAATTATTCTCGACCGCGCTGTGTTAAATATTATTTGTAGTCTCAGCAATTGGTCTGTATGAAATGAAACTCTATTTGTTATTTCTCAATATTTCGTCACGATTTTGTGAATTCTTCAGGAGAAAACTGTAAATTTATTATAACTATTATATGTAAACAAAATGAATATTTCAATACTTACAACTTAAGATTAAAAATTTAAATTTTGATAGCATATCCGATTTAAATAAATGACATTTTTTTGATTTTAATTTATTTGGGAGTTATGGTAACCGCAATATTTTATTGAGTGAATTCCCATTGTACAATTTTTAGCGAATAAGTTTTAGTAAACAATTACATATTGTGACAGTATTATCCATATAATAAGGTGCGAAAGTAGAAGATTGAGAAAGAATCAGGAACGTGGTAAATTGATCTATAAAATGTAATTGATGGTACGTAGTCAGTTATTGGTCTGATGTTGTTAGATACTGATATTAAGATCTATAATATCATATATTGTTTAGTATATTACAGTAGATATTACTTAAATGATTGGTGTCTGTCTTATAATTGATAGATTCTGGAGTTTTATTAATGTGTACCATTTCAAGGAAAAGTCGATTTTTATAATTATCAACTTGTTCCAAGATATTTACATTATTAAAGTCAAAGGTATGTCCTGTCTTTAAGTGGTGGTCCACTAAACTTGTGCCTTAGTTGATCGGTGTTATTGATATCTATTAGTAGGTGGATCTCTTACAAATCTTTGTAATATTCCTAAATTAGGGTGTTATTTAATTTCTACAATAGGCGGATCTTTATTAGATATATTTAATTTTTGTAAATTAGTGTATTTCATAAATAATATTAAAATATAGTTAACACTACTTTTCATTCTTTTAGGTCATTTCAGTCTCAATAGCCATCGCTGGTGATAAAATAGAGAAAACTGGAATCAAGATAACGAAGCTCTGTCATATTTTGGAGGTGGATATTAAAAATCCAATCATTAGAGGTCACGTAAGAAACCTTTCTGGATATTTGGAGAAACTGCGACCGGCTTTGACACTTGCAGGATTTATTCCGATTAACAGAAATATCATTCCCCTATTGCTGTCTAGTCTTACGTCATATGCTATAATTCTTATCCAATTAAAATCCTAGATGATTAAAAAAATGTTTGGTTTTTGTTAATATCTAAGTCACTATGTTAATGTTATTATTTAAATAAATGTTAGCAATATGGTTTTAAAAGCATTTTCTTACGACATATTTCATAATGAATATAATGTAGGGTGTCCTGAAACTATCCTGATAAACGAAGACCAGAGAAAACTTTGTTTTCAAAACTTCCACAACATTGATTATAAAATCTTATCACAGCTGTTCTGTTCGACCAATTTTTATCGTATATTAATTTACTTCATAGTCATATTTAATTTATAATTGAAATAAAACAAAATCAATCCAGTATTTGTTGAGATTTAAAATTTATCAGACTTAAAAACAAACATGACTTCTCCATATTTCATAAACCTACCCATACTGACACGACTATACTAAAATCAATCCAGTATTTGTTTAGATTTAAAAATTATCAGACTTAAAAACAAACATGACTTCTCCATATTTCATAAACCTAGCCATACTGAAACGACTATACACAATTCATCATCCTTCTTAAGTCATCCAGTACTTCTTAAGTCATCCAAGGTTTTCGGCTTTCTGTTTTCTTTTGTAGAGTTGCTTTTTGTGTTCTTATAACAAAATATTTGATTTTGCTCTACATATTGTTCATATTATCACTGTTTTTCATTTCATATATTTTATATGTTTTGTTATAGAAGAACAAACATTAATAAAAATTTGGTTCTAAAAAGAACCGTTTTTATAATCGTAGATTTGATAACAGTATCACTCCACACATAGTTTTGTTTCGCTATCACTTTTCTCACGTAAATTAATTATGATCGCTTTAATTATGTTATGATCTACATGAACATATAACTTTTCTTTACTTATTACGTGTCGGACTGAATTTCTCCAACTACTTGGAAGAATATCATTGACACATTTTCTTATTAAATCTACAACAGTACTACTTAACGTTGGAGAAATATTTTGTGACCTCACGTTAGACTTCAATTTGTGCCACATATGTTCGATGGGATTAAAAATACAGTAACAGGGTAGAATCCGCAACACTGTATGTCCAACTTCCTCTGCCAATGTATGACAAACATATACTTTTTTATAGAAAATGCCTTTAAAACTTCTAACAGTTTGGTTTAACATTCTTCAAAATACATATCATTCATCTCCATGTAATTTTGAATTTCCAATTTAGTATTATTCGATCTTGGAGTCTTACTTAGTTGGGGACTGTGATAGCTTGCATTGTCCATTACTATCACGCTATTTATGAGGAATGTTTGGCATACGATTATTTTTGAACAATTCTTCAAAAAGTTCTGTCATTGTATCTTTATAGCAATCGACGCAGGAATCTTTAACATTCTTTGCAGAAAGCCACAGGGAATTTGGAACCAACTTTTTTCTGATCTAGCATGTAAAATCGTTATTATTTTGTTTTTATTTGACAGAGATTTTATCTTAAGTTAACCGGAGAAATCGGCAAATCCTTTAGGTCGCGTTGAATATGTGTCAAACCATGTCTTGTCGAGGTAAATTATCGGACGATTTTTAGAACTTTCTTATCGAATTTTCTTATCGAAGTTATATACTCCTAATGTCATTTTTGTAATCTATGAGATTCCAAAATTACTTGTCTTTTGTCAAGTATACGATATCGAAAGCCCATCCTTTTCAAAATTTTCCATAAGCTGGTGAGGCTTCAGCTTATTTGGGTTTCGTCAACGTTGAGCCGTTGGTTCAGAGCTCTTAATTTAGGTATGCGTTGCTCTTCTTACATGGTATAGACTTTTCGACGAATCAAGTCCTTATCGGCTTCGTCCATACATTTGGTGGAAGTGGAATCTTTACGATCAGAGGTATTTTCGTAAAATTGCATATTTCACCCATAGCGGGAGTTGTGTCAAGTCATATTTTAACTTAGGTACTGCATATAGTTTTTACAATTTGCTTTGCATCTACAGATAAATATTTCTTCTTTACGGGATACTAAAAGAAGCCCTATTTTTATTATCCCACGGACGCCACATAATGATAGAATAGGTTATGAATAAAATGAGTAATACTACTTAAAATTTACCGTGATACATAAAGATCAACAAATTTTATGAAGAACTCGTACTTAAATACTGGTTGGTGTTCAGTTTCATAAACTTATAATATAAATACCTAAAAACCACTTAAAAGGTGATTGGCAAGCCCGTCGCACAGTATCATCGAATACTCTTATCAGTGCAGTTTCGTCAATATGCCATCGTCAGGTCTTATCTGTATTATTAAAATTATAATGAGTTTTTATTGCAAGAAATGAAATCAACATTAAAAAATAAAGATTGACAAATTTTATTAAGAAACATATTTAAATTTTACCTCAAACGGGATTATACCTTTTATACTATTATCGGTTAACCCAGGATGATTATAGTCGGTACTAATTAAAGCATCATTTATATCTTAGCACCTCTAAATAATATATAATTTATAGTTCACAATATTAATGTAATTGTCTGTCTAGTTTTTCTAGAACTTCCACCAAACTGCTAATCTATGACGTTCCTTTTAAAAGTTTTTTTTTTTTTCATATATTAAATTCCAATGAGATTAGAGTTTGAAATGTTTTAAAAGCACATTGTGGATTTTTCTAAGGTGCTGATTAATTGAGCGATTTCTTTAAAGCCCTTCCGATAAAATCCTTAACAACTCTTAAGAAGATCAATCACTTCCTTTACAAAGTTCGAGTACATTGGCCGCTGTGGTCTTTTTGTGTCATGAGTAAGCCTGTTTAGAATGGACGATACGTACGCATTCAATTTTATATTAAAACGTAAAAAAGTACTAAAGAGTATACGTGTGCCGTGAATAAAAGTATGATGTGAAATGACAAGAAGGGATTTAATAAAATATTATTAGAACCAAATTAGTAAATCCTGTAGAGTCGAATTCGCGTAAGTCGGGGTATAATTTCGTATATGTATGTATATAAATTATTTTAATTGGGACCAAAAGATAAAAAAAATAGCAATTTTGACAAAAAGCTTCTATTAAAATCATAGGATATATAAATATAAAATTGGCAATTCAATATATTTTGACGTAGAAGGCTTTATAAAATCTAACAAAGTAGTTTGACAACTTGAAGATTTTTTTCTCTCAAAAAATTTCTGCATAGCAGGCTAATAATTTGTTTATCCCTTGTTTGGTAGAAGAAATGAGCTTTTGGTTCTGGTCTATATTTTCTAAAATTTGTAATCCTTTTTTAATTAAACTGATGCCACATTTGTTAAGTTTTCAATCGTCATTTGACAACAAACCAAAAGAGGCTAAGGAAAACTGGATGATTGAAAAATGCATAGAAGTGAAGGAACTGCAGAAAAAGCATGATCTTTATAATTTAAATAAAAAAGTGAAAGGCTTGTCTGAAAAATTACGAACGAATTAATATTTCTAACCGATTAATTGACAAAAACAATAAACCTATTAATATATATAAAATTATATATAAAAACAGAATATTTAAAAAGTGGAGGGAATACCACAGATCTGAGGCTTGAAAACGCAGTCATAAAAGGTTGTAACCAGTATAAATATCTAGGAAGCATCATATCAGCAGATGGCAGAGTTAAGATAGATGTACAAAACCGAATAACCCAAGGGAAAAAATGCATCCGAATACTGAATTCATTACTGTGGTCTAATAAAATAAAGATGCATACCAAACTTCAAGTATACAGAGCAATTGTAAAACCGATTACCACATATGGTGCCGAATGTTGGACAATGACAAAGAATGAACGAGATAAAGTGTACGTTGTGGAAATGGATTATCTTAGAAGGTCATGTCGAGTATCGAGAATGGAAAGAATCAGGAATGAGGAATTTCAGATAGAATACAAGGAAGGCATCTACAATGGTATGGGCACGTGATGGGAATGGAGGAGGAGCGGTGGCCAAAGAAAGCCTTAATGTATGTTCCGCCAGAAAGAACGAAAAGGGGAAGACCACCAAATTCCTGGAGAAGAGAAATAACAAAAACAATGCAATCTAGAGGCTTAGAAGAGGGTGATTGGAGAGATATGAAAAGATGGAGGCTGAAATGCGGGAAGCGGCAATCGCCGTAGGACCCCCTTTATATGATGATGATGTTTTTGGTAAAGGTTTCTTGTTTTGTTTTTTAAACATTTCTGTCAGGAAGGCCATCCACGTATCCTCTTGTATGTGTTCTATTTCAATTAGTTCTTTCATTTCGCTTCTTTGTTGTCTTATGAAGCGCCATACTCGTTTTTGTTGTCCATAGAAATCCGTCTCTAGTTCTTTTGTGAATTTTTACCACTAATCTGCTTTTGTTTTTCTTATCTCAAGTGATGCGTTTCAGTTCTTATTCTTTTATATTCTTTATATGATAATATATAGTGGGGTGCCGAAACAAGGGATCAAGATAAATGGTGAAAGTATAAATAACATCCGTTATGCTGACAATACAGTCATTATCGCTAAAAGTAAGACAAATCTGCAGACGATCTTCTTACAATGCCTTATCCTTAAGGACGTTGGCCATTACATTTGCCCATTTAATCTTATTTGTAGCAGCCCTGAATAGTTCTATGGAGGTCATGTTCGTCCATTGCCGTAGGTTTTTAAGCCAAGAGTTGCGTCTTCTTCCTGGTCCTCCTTTGCTATTGACTTTGCCTTCGATTATAAGTTGGAGCAGTTCATACTTTTGATTTCTTATAATGTGACCAAAATATTGTGTTTTCCGTTCTTTTATTATAATCATAAGCTCTCTTTCCTTATTCATCCTCCGCAAGACTTCCGCATTTGTGGTATGGCTCATGTAGGATATTCTGACCATTTTACGGTAACACCAGAGTTCGAATGCTTGGATTCTTTTTTGTGTTGCTTCTGTCATTGTCCAAGCTTTAACACCATAGAGCAAGTTATAGAAAATATAGCACTTAAGTATTCTAGTTCTCAATGAGATGCCCAGCTGGAGGTTGCATAGAACTTTTTCCATT